AACTCCCTGTTTTTACCACTAAAACGGGTCGGAATGGCCCCATATACCATACATGACTTCATATACGATCAACCTTCACTACCTTGAGGTCTGTTTTGCTGTTGGGCAGCTGTGAGGTCATGTGACGTCATCAAAGGTCACCAAAGGTTTTTTGGCCAATAACTCCGTACAGGAACAAGATACAGACGCGTGGATGGTCTCATTGTGTTCAGCTCGTCAAGACGCATCGAATGATATATATGATGACCTCGAGGTCACGTGACCTGAGGTCAACCTTTGACCTTGACCTTTCGAGGTCAACATATATATCATTCGATGCGTATTGACGAGAGGATCACGATGATGCACTTAGTTTGTTCCTATCTTGACTAATTCGAAAGTTATTCGAGAAAAACTCTCCATATCTAGCGCCGCCATTTTGACTTTTTCGACCCCTGTGAGGTCATCTTTGACCTGACCTGAAAATGACCTTAGCAAAAATTGTAGACCTTGTCCATGCGTATCCGATGCCGTTTACCGCTTGTCGCTATCTTGCTTCGTTCTCGAGATCTCAGGGGGGGGGGGCCGAATCGCCCCCCCCCGCCAGTTTCTTGTCCCGGCGGAGCCCGCCAGGAATAGGGTTAAAGCCGCAAGAGGTCCTCAGAAGCCGGAGTGGGGCCCTTATGTAGATCTAAGTGTGGCTATTTAGCGCCCATGAGGTGTTCTGACGAGCCCCATGGGGCCCTTCTGAGTCGAAATATGGTCATCGGTAACGCTCAGCGGTCAAATGGCGCCGCATGGGGACCCTCGGACCCGATCGTCCCTTTGAACCCAATGGGGGGGGGGGGGGTACGTGTCCCCTGAGCCCCAGCTACGCCACTGTTTCATATGCATCATGTCAGGTATTTTAGGCTCCCCTCCCCCCAACTTGAAAATCGTTCCCGGGCCCCTGCCTTCGTAACATGTTACGAAGCTGCCAGAGGCGGTTGACACGTACTACGAACACCCGGCAGAACCCCTTACTGGTTGACCTGACCTGACCTGACCCCCCTCGCCTGCACATGGGGGGGGGGTTGCCACCCCCCCCCCCCAGGTAGTCTTTCTGCTCTGCACTCAACATTTTTAGAGCTAGAAGGCTGATTTTTCGTATAGTTGCTCCTCTATCCTTTCTTGATGTCCACTGCAAATTTCAAGTTTCTGTGGTTTTTGGTTTCGGAGAAATGACCTTGTTTTTCGGGTCATGTCATGACCCAAATGGCCAATTCTCAACATCTTGCGTTTGCTATGGGCCTTGTGAGCTTTTGACACCTTGATTTCGGCCTTTTTTGCCAGTCTTACCTCCCACCTATCATGGAACATGTTGTTCGACGATGTACAGGTGTCAAGGTCAGGGTCAAGGTCAACCTAGGTCATCTAAGATAATTGCGTTTTAGGCAAGCTAAATTTACTTTTTGTGAAGTTTTTTGACTGCATTTTTGGTAAAAGCTTCTCAGATCATGATTTCATGTAATATGGACACAAAAACAATCGGTGCACACATCAGTATACACACAGACACACACAGACATACAAACACATATAATTGACCTTGACCTAACTTGACCTGAAATGACCTCAGCAGCAAAAATCTGGTCGGGTAGTGTGACAAAGAGGTTCTAGCTGGCTTGGAACCAGAAAACAGCATCGTCATCGGTACCTACATGATAAGCAGCGCACTTGATATCCAACGGTGACCCAAACAAAACAGCAACATTTTTTAGTTTGACCTGACCTGGAAGGTCAATGACTGACCTGAGAAGGTAAAGCTGGGCATCATTGGATTCGTCTCTTCCCAAATAATCTTTTTGGTCTTAACCGCTAAGCTCTATCTCCAACACATGGGTGTAGGAGCGCCAAAAATATTGGTGAAGGATGCCACCTGAACCTTATGAAAAGGGACAGGACCGTGCCAACCAACACGCACAGTGCAAGCGGGGGGGGGGGGGGGCGAATTTCGCCAACCCCTTGTTTTTCGCAGATATCTTACGCCCTTATCATCCCATTAACGTCAAATTTTCAATGCCTGCCTAAAATTGAATTGTGCATCTTGCCATGACAGCAAGATGTAAATCAGGGCCTCGGCTAAGGAATTTTGACTACTGGGGCAAATGGTCAAAGTGTGTTAACCCGCGCCCTGCTGGGAGGGGGGGGGGGAGGTTTTTGAACACCCCCCCCCTGCAGTTTTTCGCGGATATCTTAAAAACAGCGGCACCTTATCATCTATCAATTTTATACATTTTGTGAAAATTTCAGACCAGGGTCCTTCAAGGTCAGGTCACCAGGTCGCTACAAGTGACCTCACCTCATAAACACATCATAAAATGTTTCAATGTATACGCCATAGCTACACCAAGTGACGGATCGCTTTGAAGCTTTCAGCAATTGATAAGTGCAACAGTATGTACAAAATTCGGAATTTTCATATCGGTGACCTAAGGTCGGGTCAATTTTGCGACCTCTCTAGGTATTAGGTATAAGTCAATGGGAGAAAATTCCAAACCGTCTTTTTCGGACGAAAGTCATTCTAAACACTCTCAAACACTATATTACAAGTAACTTTGACACACTGAACATGAAAACGGCACCCATGACCCCTGTTTATGCCCCTAAGGTCATCTCAGGTCACGAATGGTATCTAACAGTTTTTTGCGACTAACTTTTGAAAGAGGCATGCTAGAGCGATGAAAACGCCTTACATAGGTATGTTCAGCTCGACGATACAGATCCACTAATATGCAACATGACAATGTCCGGTCAAATCATGACCTTGACCAGAGGTCAAATTTTTAAGTTGAACTTTCAATGTCAAATTATAGTTCATTCGATGCGTGTTGACAAGAGGAACACGATGTCGGTAAAAGAAAGCTCGTGCAAGGCTTGAGTCAAAAGTTATTGCAGAAAAACTGTTCCCGAAAAATCGTCTATTTTGGCAGTTTTTGCCCCCTGCAGGCAAAACCGTTGACGTTAGGTCAATTCTGAGAGAATTACTCAGAAAGGGCGTTAATAGGACTATCGAATGCGCTTTTCCGCGGCGCTGTAGCTCTATTGGTTCCCGAGTTATGGGTTGGCTTCTTGGAAATTGTCGACATTCGACCTGGAAATCGGCGAAATTTTGCCTTCAATGACCTCTGGTGACCTGACCTTTGACCTGACCAAAAAAGTGACCGAAGTGATTTCGTCATTATTTTTGGTGTTCTTTCGAACGCCGCCTTCCGCATATCGCTACGTGGCCCAGGAGCCGAGTTAGAGGGGGGGGGGGGGGTGTTCAACCCCCCCCCAACCTCCCCCAGCAGGGCGTGGAAATCCAGGACCCCCAGCCGGGCGCGGGTTAAAAAACAGACATTTGATCAACCGTCGAATCCAGTAGTTCTAAGCATAGGTAGGTGAAGACCCTCCCTTGCATTGTCCAAGATTGGTGAAGGATCCTTCACCAATCTGAAACTTTGGTGAAAGGTATCCTTCACCAAAGAGATACGTTGCTACACCTATGCTCCAACAGGAACGAAATGGCGCGGGGGGGTGGCAACCCCCCCCCCCCCATGTGCGTTCTAGGATGGGAAAATGGCATGTGCGGGCGAGGGTTAATGCATAAAAGCATCATCTGTGATCAAAATTAACATGAGCTTCGTGATCAGCACCCCGAAAAAAACTGTGAAACGATCCGTCTTTTTAAGAAGTTCTAGCAGGTCCTGATTTCCCCACTTTTGGGTCATTGACCTGAACATGGAAGGTCAACTAATGACCTACTAGGACCTTAAAATTGGGTACCTACCTATCATCGGCTTCCTCTCGTCACAGGCAGCACGTGGCTTTTTTTCCGCAAGCAGTAGCGAGTAGCGACGGAACACGTTCAATTAAGGGGCACTGCCGACTTTTGATCCCATTCTTTCCATGCAACGCCCATAGGGCTAATGTTAAAATGCCAAAATCAAGGGGGGCACGGTGCCCCGGTGCCCTCCCCGTTCCGCCGCCTATGTCCGCGAAGCTCTAAATCGATCAGGGGACAAACGGCTCGGGGTGGAGGGGGGGGGGGGGGCAACGGATCCCCTTTAACACGCTAACACGCTAGACGCTGGCAAAACACCAATCCGGGCGAGAGTTAATAAATTCTAGCAGGGCGTGATTTTCCAGACTTGGGTCATTGACATTGACCTGACCTGGAGGTTCAAATACCTAAGATAGCATTGACTTCTTTTTGTGACGGTCAACGGCCACAACGATGGTTTTCCCGCAAAGATCTTGCTCGATCAGGGGCCGACGGGCCGGGGGTGGGGGGTTGGGGGTGGACCCCGTTGCCGGTTGTATGACAGCGACTGGTAAAACGCCATTACGGACAAAAAGAGACAATGAAATGTGATCATATTTTGCTCAATTGATTTAAAAAAATCAAAGCAAGACGAGCACTGCATTCAAAAACGTACAAATAGATAGAATATCTAACATTCTTGCAAGCAAAATAACTGTTGACAATCACGCTAAGCTGTGGTAAAATCGAAAATTACATAATGTGATACGATAATGGGCGCGATTATGTATTTGGCTGTCAGTTCTCTTTGCCCTTCTTTCATTTTGTAGATTTGTGATGCGCAGCTGCGACATAACCTGCGCATGCGTACGGATGTGACAGCTGTTCAATAGCAGGCCTTTTTTAGATCTATTGGCAGGTTGCTAGGCATCAGCTTCAATAAAATTTATTACCGGCATTTCATTAGCGAGTAGCCAGGTAACTGGCGTTCTTTATCTGCTCCCTGCTCGCTTTCGAACAGATTCGATCGATATTGATTGTTCCACGCGGCGCGTCCCGCAGGACACGGTAATACTTAATAAATCAACGTCAAAATACTTATTCCAAGTTCCACCATGAAACCACCACTATATTACTTGCTTACAGACCCGTGCGCACAGTGCGCGCAGTTTTATCGTGACGTCAGAGGGTGCTTCCTCAGTGGCGCCCCCTGGCGGGGAACGCGTGCAAAAAGTCCAGCTCTTAGGCATGTCCGTAGGTAGGTGCCGTTGGAAAACTGATATTTGCGGTAAAATGCTTTTTCTTTGCTGAGTTGTGATTAATTACCTAAATGGCTCATAGAGTAATTTGATATTATCAGATCTGTAACACGGACTTAGCGTGAACATTTTTGTATCATAAATAATGCTTCATATAGCTGTCTGAACAGCCAATACAAATAGGTAACCGCCTAACCGGTTCAGGGTAGGTACCAATATATCGCAATAAATTGTTAATGTCCCAGTCATGAGTCAATATTATTGTTTATTAGTGATGAAAATTATATTATGCAGAGGGTCCCAGTGATAAGCCATATGCTTGTATTGATTTACCTGTTATTGACATTGTGGTAAGTCCGAGGGCCTGTTAGAGGGCTTGGTTTCTATTGCGCAAGTTAACCTGATTTTGTAAAATGGATTTTCTCAGTCATTTCATTTAGAGATCAGATGTGAGTGCGGTGAGTCGTACAGAGGAGAAAGTGGACATCCAAAATCAACTAGAATGAAGGAGCACATGTTGATGTTGATGTCTGATTTAAAACATGGTCGCACAGACATATTAGGAACAGGTCAACATGCCTACTAATGCAACAAAGCATTAAATCCAAGAGACGTAAAAGCATTGGCAGTTGAAAGAAACTGGAAGCGTAGGACAATCCGTGAGGCACTGGAGATTAAGGTGCACAATTCGTTAATGAATAGGGGGGTCGGAAATGTCACCATCACCATTTGGGACATTGTGTTGAGATAGGAACATGTGTGCGTTTGCCTGTTATAGTGTGCCTCGAAATGTGTTTCACCACAAATCATTTGTTCAGTTTTTCGTAAGCTAGATTTTAGAAGATCGTCATCACTGACCGGCGACGGCACGACATGAATATTTGTATTTTTTAGGACATGTTTTTGAGAAACATTTACTTCAAACCAGTGAACAAGGGTGATCAATAAAGCCAAAATATTTGGTTATATTATTTAGTTTTCCTCAGTGAAGCCTGTTTTGAAAACAATTAACTTTTGAGAGATCTATAGTTTTTTTCTTGCTAAAAATGATCAGAAAAATAGCAATGTTAATAAAAGTATTTTAAAAAGGTATTTTTATGTCATGGGAATAACAGTTTTTCATCTTTGGTAAAGGCTTAATAGCATTTGCAGTGAAATGACGAAGTTAGGTTCCACAAGCAAGCTGCTGTAGCATCTGCCAAAGGAAACCAATTACTAAGCTCTCATCAAGCAATCCTTTCTTTGTATTGACAAGGTATCCTTCCCTGTATCCTTTTTCCATCCTTAGTTGTAAGATCTCCTTGTTGTACAAGACATTGGTAAGACCCTACTTATGGGGACCTGATACGGGTCAATCAATCAAGCCGACCAAAAGTTGATTGAGCGAGTGCAGAGAAGAGCCACAAAACTTGTTTGGGACATCAAACACCTATAATACCAGGGGTGTCTCAAATGCCTGAACCTGCCATCCCTCTACTATCGAAGGAGAAGGGGTGACATGTTTGCCATATACCACATATTCAGTGGAGGTTTAGATGTCCAGCCTGAGAAATTCCTCACACTTGCCCCAGTAGTTGGTACTACCATCTCATTCAGACTCCATGTCATGTAGGCAGTACTTCATCTTCACATTGCAGAATTTCAAATGAAAGCCAAGCTGTTTGTGTGTTGACGTAAACAAAGTGGGTACCCTGACTCACAACCACTACCGCCCTTTTGTGTATGTCTCATCAGGTGTTTTGCCAGTGTGCGGACCAGCTGTGAGCGATGGCGCCGCGCCGGGACCGAGTCTCGTGCGGCCTGGACCTGGTGGCTGTGCCTGACGTGCCCGCCGGCATCTCCAGCGCCACGGAGGCAGGGTCAGTGACTGCATGGACACCTGACCGGCACCGGGCCCACACGGCTGACTGGGAACACGGCCGTAAGAGGGGGGGGGGGGGGCGAGTTCGGTTCCGCGCTCCGGTGGTGTGGGATAGGGGGCTTTGTTGTCGAATTCGCTTTCTGGTCTGGGAATGCTGTGCAAGGGTAGGGGACAAATAATACTCAAGCACTGGCATGCTACTTCAAATGTTTAAGGACCAGGTGTACTTTAGGGACTAAGGAGAGTTGAAGAGAGCTACCTCCACCTTTGTGGTTTTGTATTCATGCTTGATAAGTACCAGGCAGACCGCTTCCCTAAGCCTGATTTTCTCACTTTTTGATGTACCTTTCTATTCGATCTGATACTAGCCAAGTAAGGGGTAGTTTGTGTGCCTCTGTTTTACTCTGGCTAGTCTGGCTAGTGCTATTGTCGCCATTTAGCAGCTGTGCTCATGCTCGGCAATTTTTGCCAGGTACCACGTCTTAGTGTTCATGTTCTCGTTGATTTTCGCCAGGTACCAGCTGTGTTCACGTTCTCTAACGTTCGCCAGGTACCAGTTTGTGTTTATGCCGATCGTCCACCCGCGCTACCGTCGGGAGTTTGTCAGTGGTCGAGCCAAGGATCGGACCACTCCCTTCACACGCTCCGATATGGTGCTCAGCAACGCAGGTGAGCGAATGATGGAGTGGGTAAGTGAGTGGTTAAGTGAGTGCTAGTGTGCAAAAGTGCGAGTGAGTGAGTTTAAGTGAAAGTGAGTGTAAGATGTTTTACAGCAGTAGATGCAATTTATTGTATGGTCATTTTTTCCCGAACTTCGAATACGTGTGATAGATATCAAACTACTGTGTGTGTTTGGGGATAGGGGATATTCATTGTGTTTCTATTAACAAAAGCTTTGTTTTACTCTTACGAATGATTGCAGTGCATTACTGAATGATTCATGCATGGACCCGTGACAAACGCATGCTGGACATTGACTATATTACATACCTAGTCTATCCGGTCCAATCCAGTTCTACTTCTCCCTCAATCACTTGACATCTGCCGTGTTTGGAACTCGTGGCCCGCCGCCCGTAATGACACCCGCCCGCCTCCCGCTGCCCTCAGACTGGAACACGCTGGTGGTGGGTAAGCTGTCGCCGCACCTGGCGCTCGACTCGCCCTGCGACTCGGTGCGTCAGCAGGCTGAGGCCGCGCTGGCTGAGGAGCTGAACTTCGCCTCGCACCTGACACTGCCGGCGGTGACCCTGCGGCTGCACGGCGGTTCAAACGCCAACCTGGCGCGGCACCTCTACAGCCGCGTGGTCAGCAGCTGCTCCTACCAGGTGAGTAGGGACGGACGCGGCCGCGTGAAGAATGGGCAGCGGCACTGGGGAATCAGTGGCTGGGAGGGTCGACTTGTGAAGGCATTAATAGGTACATAGGAACTGCATAAATCCAGTGCAGAGTCGGATAGGTTTGGGATAGGGTTAGCTCGCAATCAACCAATGGTTTGGCCTATTTGCTTGACGGACCTGTGCCCTGGCGGCCGTCCTCCACTCTCAGCTCCTTCAGATCTGGGTGCAGTTTTTTCTGACACCCTGCCCGGGCCTATCCAGTGTCCATCAAATATGGGTTCAGGTGCCACCAGTACTCCATCCATGTCCTTCAGATCTGGATGCCACTAATATCCCAGTGGTAGGAACTACCACTTCAGAATAGCTAGGTTCAGGTGCGGCTAACACCCCCCCCCCCGGTCCCCCAGATATGGGTGCACGTACCGCAGCTAACACCCCCTCCCCCACCCCCCAGATCTGAGTGCAGGTGCCGCTGACACCCCCGCCCCCTTCCCCCAGATCTGGGTGCAGTTTCCGCTTACACCCGTTCACCCCCCCCCCCCCTACCTTCCCAGATCTGGGTGCAGATGCCGCTAACACCCCTCCCCCTTGTCCCCCAGATATGGGTTCAGGTGCCGCTAACACCCCTCCCGTCCCCAGATCTGGGTGCAGGCGCCGCTAACACCCCCCCCCCCTTATCCCCCAGATCTGGGTACAGGTGCCGCTGACCAGTCCGGCGGCGGCTCAGCGGCAGTACCGCAGCGACCTGCCGTCCGAGCCGGACTCGGCGCCAGAGGAGTTGGACGACCCGTGGCTCTGGTGGGACCGGCTGAGGAACGCCACCGGCACAGAGTCGCGGCTGGGCGTGTGTCTGCAGGTGGGAGCCGACCTGCCCGACGCCCGCCGGCTCGACCGCTGGATGGGCGAGCCGGTCAAGTGCGTGATGCTCTCCGCAGATGTGTTCATCAGCAACAAGGTGGGTGAACGGCGGAGTATATACATAGGGCCGGGTGTGTGATGCTATCCAGAAGGATTGGGAGCAGTCAAGCGTTCACTAACGTTTAGTACGTCATGTTGTGTTCGTTTTGTCATAGCAACGGTGCATCTTTCTGCAAGGTGTTTCGATGTGCCTGCGAATGAATATCCCCGCTCTAACGGCAAAAAGCGAAAACAGATAATACTTGTTCTAAAATTTCCTAGATCTTTCATTCCATTATATAGCAGTACGATTCTTCGTTTTCATGATGACGTTTTCCGGTTTCTCGCGTCCTGTGTCTGAGCCAGGTGTGCTCTGTTCCACAGAAGGGTTTCCCGGTGCTCACCCGCGCCCACCAGGAGCTCATGAAGAGCCTGATGCGGCTCAACTGCCAGTTTGTAGTGACGGGCGCCAACCGGCACCAGCACGTCAAACACTACTGGCAGTACCTCAACCACCTGTACCAGGTCAGTCACAGGGCCTGTACCCCATGTACCCAGTACCAGGTCAGTCAGAGGGTCTGTCTCTGGCCACTGGGGGCTTGTACACCTGTACTAGATCAGTCTGAGGGCATGTATAGTCGACTACAGAATGATGTTCCACTCTTCAAGTTCAGAAGCTATCAGTTGACCGGAGCGCTAATTTGTGCCGTTTATCGCGCAATTAAGCGTGCCGCTTGTGAGCATTGGGACAAAGTTATAATTCGTAAACTCAGCCCGTGTGATGCGGCACAGCCTACCACTCCAGGCAAATAATTGCCTGTGAAAAGTGGAACATCATTCTGTAGTCGACTATACCGCGGGTATGTACCGCCTGCACCAATCAATGAGGTTCTGTACCCTGTAGTCTGTGCCAGGTCAGTGAGGGTCTGTACCAAATGCTCATTGTTTGTTAAAGGCTGTAAACGCCTAACGCTCGCCTTCTGCCACACTATTGACACGCCCTGCCTCTCGGTGTCCCGTGTGTTGCCCGTCTGACCGACTCTCTATTGACAGGTGTTCCGCCCTCCCTCGTGCTGCCCCGTCTAACCTCTACTTCTGCGTCAGGTGTTTCTGGAGGAGTCCAACGATCCGCTGTCGGACTTTGCCATCGGGTACGAGGACTACTTACAGTGTCCGCTCCAGCCGCTGATGGACAACCTGGAGTCGCAGACCTACGAGATATTCGAAAAGTGTCCCGTCAAATACTCCCAGTACCAGGTAAAGCGGTGGCGCTGCTGGCTCGGGATCGGTTGGATTTTATAAGGAATGCGTGTTCTTACTCCTCTTATGAGTTATATTGTGTGTTTACGCTATACACCTTTTAGTGCTGTTGTTTTAGCATAGAGGAACAATCGTATGCTCACCATCTTTAAAAAATCTAAACTTAGCCTCAAATGTCGGGAACGTTCCTTCTTCATTTCGTAAATGTTCAGCTGTTGTTTTATGTTATATTAAATAGATGAGTTACCAATCTATTTAATATAACATAATCATATTTAACCCGTTTGCCGGCGCTGTTTCTGACGCCGTCCGTGGCTCTGTTCCAGCGCGCCATGTACCACGCGTTCCTGGACCGGGTACCCACTGAACGGAAGGACCAGGATACCATGTGAGTGCTGCTGGGCTCGGGACTAGAGAGCTAGAGAGCTGATGGTCGTCGGATGCGAAAATCGGCCGATGTTGAGTTACGAGGATGGGTCCTCGGTTGGTTTTACTGACCACTCCGGGACGAGTCAGTTACATATGTTGTAGGAATATCTACTCTTCCTGGCTTTGCTTAGCTCTACGGGCTCAAACTGGGCTCCAAAGTGATTAGTAACTAGGTGGCCGATGTTGTCCTTTTCCTGATTTGGCCCGACCTGATAATTGGCCCATTCACTGACTTTCCCAGTCTGGGCTTTGGCGTTCCCCAGCTCTTCTGCTGACCTGACCTATGTGTATGTACCCCTCTGCCCTCAGTCAGAGTTGTGGTGGTGGGGGGGGGGGGGGGGGGGGATCCTATCTGATCTGACCTGACCTATATTCTGTCTGTACCCCTCCCCTAGCGTTTTGATGGTGGTGGGCGTTGTACCTGACCTGACCTGACCTAACCTGACCTGACCTGACCTCTGACCCCCTCCCTCCCTCCTCAGCGTTGTAATGGTGGTGGGTGTCGTACCTGACCTCTGACCCCCTCTCCCCCTCAGCGTTGTGATGGTGGTGGGCGCCGCTGCTGACCTGACCTGACCTGACCTGACCTGACCTGACCTGACCTGACCTCTGACCTCCTCTCTCCCTCAGCGTTGTGATGGTGGTGGGCGCCGGCCGCGGCCCGCTGGTCAGGGCCGCCTTCCTGGCGGCCCGCCAGGCCGAGCGGCAGCTGCGAGTCTACGCCGTCGAGAAAAACCCCAACGCCGTCGTCACGTGAGTTCTGACACGCTGAGCTGAGTTGTTCTCAATGGTCTCAGTACAGGGGCTCTCGCTCTTTCCACAGGATTGTTTGTGGTACCTATAAATATCCTGTCATTAGTTGCCATTACAATTGTGAAGCTATAACAGATGGAATGTCTACCGTATCGTATTTAGTTGTCCTCTTTGATTTATTTTTAATTCAGGCGACTCCTCCGTCTGTTCTCTTCATGCTTTTATTTCGTCTGACCTCATGTGACCTCTGCTGACCCCGATGACCTCCTTTGGCTTCATATGACTCATCTGACCACCTACTGACCTCTGTGACAGACTGCGGACGGCGGTTGAGGAGGAGTGGGGCGACACAGTGGTGGTCGTCTCGTGTGACCCCTGCTGACCTCGTGTGACCTGTGTTGACCTCTGGTGGCCCCTACTAACCCCGCTCTGACAGATTGCGGACAGCGGTTGAGGAGGAGTGGGGTGGGTGACACGGTCGTCGTCGTCTCGTGTGACCTCCGCTGACCTCGTGTGACTCCTGCTGACCTCTGGTGCCCTCTCTCTGACAGACTGCGGACAGCGGTTGAGGAGGAGTGGGGCGACACAGTGGTGGTCGTCTCGTGTGATATGCGCGAGTGGCAGGCACCAGAGAAGGCCGACATCCTCGTCTCGGAGCTGCTCGGATCGTTCGGCGACAACGAGCTGTCGCCAGAGTGTCTGGACGGCGCGCAAAAGTACCTGAAAGGTGGGTGAAAGAAGAATGGTGGGCCTGGGATGCCGCCACCCGTGGGCTGGACTGAGTCAAAGGCTGCGAATGCTGACACAGGCAATGTGATTAGAACTCGTGGTCATCCAAAGGCTTGTGCCCTTTGGTGAAAGACATCACCGCTGCCTCGTTCCGGGAGCCGTAGACGGACAAGAAATTTGTAGTTATTTGTAGAAATTTAACTTGCTGCTTTGGCAGTCTCCTTATATACTATTGCTGAAGTAACAGGTGGCTAGAACAAGGCATCTTTCTTGCCTCTATTCATATACCTATGTATACAGAGGTCTATGCTCTATTCTAACCCTGCAGTCGTATAGGGAGTGTGTTTCAGCGCTGTACCTCACCGTATCTTTGTCTCCCTTCTCACAGACGACGGCATCAGCATACCGCAGAACTACACGTCGTTCCTGCACCCGGTGCAGTCGCCCAAGCTGTACAACGACGTGCGCAGCTGCCGCGAGAAGGACAAGCCGGCCGTCTCGCCGTTCGAGATGCCCTACGTGGTGTACCTGCAGAACGTGCTGCGCGTGGGCCAGCCGCAGCCACTCTTCCACTTCGAGCACCCCAACAGAGGTGGGTTCACACTTCACTCAGGCTCAGGGTCACCGGTCACTGGTCAGTGGTCAGGCGGAGGTCACTGTGTGGGTAGGGGTTACTGGAATACCGGCCTGCTCAATGGCCACTGGCCAGTCACTGTTTAGGTGAAAGCTGACATGCTCCTGCATATATCTCTTTAGGCCTCTTTATACAGAGGTCTATGGTTCCAGAAATATCCGTAACTATCAAAGGCATCGGCCTGCTTAACTCAGTCGGCAATGGGGGTAAAATATTCACTGCGCCAGTTCATGTGAATATCTTGTCCTGCCGGAGAAGGTATCTAACCCGGCCGTATCGGTGTATGGGGCGATGGACGGGTGGTGGCGCCAGAGGTCGATGTGGTGGCTCTATGTACGTACGATGGACGGTTGGTGGCGGCCTCTGTGGCAGCAGTGAGACCGCCACTGCGGTACTGACACTGACAATGAAAATAAACAACAGTGGCAGTGACAGTTATGGTGACAGTCCTGACTGTGGCAGTTGAAGACTGACGCTGATATGGTGACAGGGAATCTGAATGGCTGGCTGTGAATTGCGATAGTAGGACCCTCCGCTGCGTCGCGGCTCACATATTAGATGCAGATGGACGAGAGTTGTTTATTACTATGCGTTGCAACTCTACATCCATCATATTGGTATTGTCTTACTCAGCATATGATAGCATAGCATCATAGCAGCATCATATCATAGCAGCGTCGCTGGCTACGTTACTATGCTCCAATGCTCCAAACCATTTTCCAAATGCCTATCTCCACCCCGGCCTGTCTTCCGCGTCCACAGACGAGGTGATCAACAACAGCCGCTTCAAGACACTGACATTCGCGGCCGATCAGGACTGCACGGTGCACGGGTTCGGCGGCTACTTCGAGTCGGTGCTGTACAAGGACACCATGATCAGCATCCACCCGCACACACACTCGCCCGGCATGTTCAGCTGGTTCCCCATCTTCTTCCCCATCAGGGTGAGTCATCCGCTGCCACCGGCCAGATCCGCTGCTGGGTGCCCTGGGTCGCCAGAGTTGTGATCGTGTTGTCTTGTGTTGTGTTGTGTAAAACAACACAACAGTTGTGTTGTGTTTTGTTGTGATGGCCGCTGGGTTTTCTCTTCTTCCTCCCCTCCCCATCAGGAAGAGTGTGCACTACGCAGCTGCCTTTTGCGCTGCTTTGCCTCTTCATATAGATGAGTTTGCTGACGGCCGGACGTGGGTTGACCTGGTTCCGTCAGAAGTGTAAATGTAAATGGCTGATGCTTTTTTCGTGGTAAAGGGTCTACTGGTGTTATTGGTTGCTTCGTTCCTTTTCTTTACGGCGAGGCCCATGGGCTGTCTTATCTCCCAGCCTAGCTCGCGGTGTCATCACCAATCGTCCTGCGTTGCCGAACTGTGTCCCGCCGGCTGCCACTGTTCTGTGTTCCGTCGCCCGTCTCTGCTCTGTTTGGGGACCGCCGCCCATCTCTGTCCCGTCTCTGCTGTGTTTGGGGACCGCCGCCCATCTCTGTCCCGTCTCTGCTGTGTTTGGGGACCGCCGCCCATCTCTGTCTCGTCTCTGCTGTGTTTGGGGACCGCCGCCCATCTCTGTCCCGTCTCTGCTGTGTTTGGGGACCGCCGCCCATCTCTGTCCCGTCTCTGCTGTGTTTGGGGACCGCCGCCCATCTCTGTCCCGTCTCTGCTGTGTTTGGGGACCGCCGCTGCCCATCCCTGCTCTGTTTTGGGGACCGCCGCCCGTCAGCTGTGTCCCGCCGCCCGTTTCTGCTCTGTCTGTGTCCCGCCGATCTCTGCTCTGTTTGGGGACCGGTGGCGCGCCGTGCGTTACCGGTGACGTGACCAGACTGCCGGCGACGACTGCCGCCCCTCTGCTCCGGATGGGCAGAGATTAATGAGCGCGTTTGTTGACGCACGTGCCCAGTGTGCCGTACCGCCGCCTGATGTCAGCTTTTAGGGGGGGGGGGGGAGACATCGGAAATCGGCCGGCTAGGATTGTCAGAAAGGGGAGCAAGGAGGTATCATACCCAGTACGAGATTATGAGAGGGTCAACTGATGAATGCCGTTACTTAATTTGAATCTCGTTGTTGACTTGGCTAGGTAGCATCTGAAAGCTGATTCATTCAACAGTTTTATGTAGTGTACGGACAGAGCCATACATCGTGGAAAGAAAAATATCAAAGAGTAGTCCGAATTGGCCAGTCACACTTTTGAGAGACGTTTATCTCTGTAGCCACAGATCCTAACAACCATCGGTATTCTGCATCAGCCAATCATATAACCTCTACCAGGCGTGTGCCACCGACACGTCTAATTGTTGACAATAGCGCATTTTGAGTGTCTTGGTACTGTCTTCAGAAGTGTCATCTTCACATAAATTTTGTGACGGTTCGTTCAATTCTATCCAAATGTTGAATCTTTATGTAGGTACGTTCACATTGTATTGTAGGCTATTTCATAATTGTTCAAAGGAGTGACGCTTCAACAAGTTATTGCATCCTGGTGATTCAAGTGTGTCGATTGCTCAGAGCATATCCGCTTCCGTCCCCGTCTAAGAAGATGGCGATCGTGATTTCCTGCTCACGGAAAATGCGCTGTTCAGAGAATATTACCGCCTGTCCTACAACTTTCTCCACGGCTCTGCGTTGTTCTCTGCTCCGATTATTTTTGCTGAGCTGCGTGCTTTTTCTGTCTCCTGAATACCTGCGGTTCGGTGGTTAATTGCGAATTGCCAATATAGTTGTAACTTGTAAAGCTTTCTTTTATATCAATTAACTCGTAATTTTTCGTAATCCGACCAAGTAATATCTTCCATAGATATGCTAGCAATAGCTTGGCTGCCTTGTGGCTACATGTGTTGAAGTTCACAACTTTGTTTTTGTCAAAGCTGCTAAGTGTGTACCCATGCTCTTTGTATCAGTTTGTATCTGAGCGTCCCGCATGCCGCTGCATTCTTGATATGGTTTCTCCGGCTGAGTCGCACCATGGAATCAGTGAACACATCACTTTTGCAGAGCTCAATGGAGCGGTGCTGATGACCGCGCTGAGGCTGCCCACTTGCACCCAACACTCAACGGCCTCTGACTGTTCTCTCCAGAGCTGGATTTATTTCGAATGTGATGGTCAGAGGGCAAAAATCCGCCGGCCAACTTTTGCAATGTCACGCTCAAGTTGGGCCTAATGACGGTGGCTGCCCGCATTTCGTTCCCCAAAGCACAACACTCCATATTTCGCCCGTCTCACAGCGGACCGCGAGAGCCGACCGCAAAAAGGCGCCTTCAATCCAGCCGGGGCCTGCAGCGAGCCATACTAGCGCGGTCGTTTGGTCCAAGCTGGGCGGCTCCAAAGCGCGAGTCTTCAGCGGGGAATGTTCATGCCTATTAGAGCTGTTAATCTGGAGCATATTCTTTACCGATATCAAATAGGTCAATCTGGTGTTTGAGCCTGGTATTTGGGTAAATCGTCGGCACATCAAATATTTAGTCACATTCCTTAGTTTTTACTTAGTCCCGTCCTTAGTTTTCGGTGACTTTTATATGCAATAAAGATGGTAATCCTTTTCTTCCATTTGGGTCTCGGTTGGTAGGCATCAGTTTCAGTCATATAGTTTGGTTTCCCAGTACACTGACACTGACATCACCTATCCTGTAGCGCGTTCGGTATCCCGTTCGGCGAGACCTGTACCTGTACGACGAACCCGTCTGCCGTCGGTAAGCTATAGTCCGGATTGAGGTCGCTGCTCGCTCGGTGCCTGGGTTTCTGCCACGGCCGGAAACGGTGATCGGGTGTCCGGTTATCGCGAGGAATGCGCGTGTCGGGCTGCCTCCTAGAATTTGTGAGAAACAATGCATTACTCATTGCTAGTTTGTGATACCAATAGGCTTGCTTTGCCTCGGAGACTAGCTATCTATGCCTGGGTGTATGTGATTAGGGAGTGGAGTGGTATAACAGCGGTCTTTTCTTTCTGTTCATTTTCTTTACAGTAATTATACTAATATTTTTTGTCACAAAGACCCGCTTCCTTCGAAAGAGACCTCCCCAAACCATTTTTAATAACATTTTATTGCTCGAAGTGCCTCAAACTTGGATCAAACTCAGATACCCTTGTACATATATGAGCACCTACTATTCTTCAGGTTTTTGTTGACTAGTCTAGTTAAGCTCCTCAAAAAGAAGAAAAAACTGGAAGTCCGTCTCGCGAACTTCCCCTACGGCCTTGATCTCTCCTAATAAGAGCTCTCTTATTATCGCCCTTTGAAGTGCGAGAAAATTTTCTTGCTAGTAAACCAGATGGTGATTCGATCTATCACGATCTATCTATCTGACCGGGGCTGCGGAGTCGGAGTCGGAGTCGGTCGGAGTCGACAGCTCTGACCGGAGTCGGAATCGGAGTCGGAGTCACCGAAAATCCATCGCCTCCGCAGCCCTGTCTAACGATCTATCACGAAACCTTTTGGGTGACATCAAACGTCATGCCGTCTGATCGGTAATGTTTCTTCAGATTTACCAGAATGCATTTGTTGTGCAAAGCTCAGGTAAATATTATCGGTAAAATTTTGGGCAATTTTCTTTTCGGAACTATCTGCCGATCAAGGCAGATGTTTTGATTAATCCGTGTACGATTGATATACCTCCTGATAATTGAAGAAGTCAGAGCTTGAGTAAACGTGGCTATAATGTTTCAAGATACGCGATAGTCTCGCTTTTTTTGCCCGAAATTGTTTAGTTACAGGCAATGTTTTGCTTTTGCTCCTTTTGCTTTGTAATGTTATCGCTACCCTGTGCGGTAACTAATATTCTGCAAGCTGGCGAAATCTATTTCGCTCCGCTTATGTCGTCTCGCTAAACTTATTACAAGGGAAAAGTGAAATGATAATTAAAGGGCACCTCACTTCCCGATGCGACTGCCTTTTTGTAGCAATTACAGTTGTCACCCATTCAATTGTCACCCATCACCCATCAATTGTCACCCATCAATTGTCACCCATTATCATATACGCCAATTAGGATTTTCACGTGGCACAAACTGCACTTTTCTATATTCCTAGAATTTGCATCGCATCTGGATCACTGATGCATGCCTCCCGCTTCACCTGGCAATATTTCTGTGGGACTGAGTCGACCTCTAGTCCCGCTCTCCCGTGTGGCCGGAACTGGGTGAGACGCTGGCCGGACCGGCCCCGTCTGACCTGCCCCCCCCCCCCCTGACTGTAGAACTCGGCCGTGCGGGGAGCGTGGGGCTCCGCGGACCGGCCGAACGGGTAGAACCGGTGCGCGGAGAAACACAGAGGCCCGCGCTCCGCGCTGGGTGCCGTGCGCCGGGCGGAGAATAGCGGGGTCAGCCGCTGAACTGAGAGGGGGGTCTGCCGGGGGGGGGGGGGGGGTCATGTAACAGGGATACTGAGTCGTGGAAAGGGAGAGCAGGTAATGCGTCAGCATCCGGCTCGACTTGTACAAATATACTTTCTTCTAATTAAATCAACCTACCTCCTCTATTATTTTTATCTATGTTTTGCGTAGACGTTAAACCGCGCCCCACTGGCGGGGGAGGGGGGGGGGCTATTCATAGCCCCCTCTCGTTTTTCTGCAATATCCTCTAAATCCCTGGACGTATCAACACGAAACTTGCGCTACCTTCGGCTGCATCAATTTGACACCTTGTGTTCAAATAAAAACTTTGTGGCTACCAAAGGTCGGCCAGATATGACGTCAGATATCAAAATCGGCCGAATATGACGTCAGAGTGACGTCACGTTCGGCCGATTTTGATGCAAATCATTGAACTACGACAATCGCTCTCAAGAGCTCAGTTGATAAGCCAGAGCTAATTTCTTTGCATGAGAGGACTCAGAATACACAGGAATATCAAACTGCTCTCTCTCAGATTTTCAAAATTTTGAATATTTTAAAAATAATTGAATATAAACTTAAATTTTTTTTGAAATTTTTACGAATAAGTTTTTAATTTTTCGAGAAAAAAAAACAGAATACATGTGATAGAACACATACATGTGATCTATTTTGGGAAGTTTTTGGCCGATATCTTAAAAGATAACCAAGTTTTACGCTTTGTAGTTCATAATTTTACCATTAGAAAAAATCACATCCATTTTTCAGTACGTTTTCGATGTCGTACACCAAAATAAATAGCACCATCGTGTTTCTGAGCTCAAACTGCATCTGCTTACTGCTAGACACATTTTTGTTGCAAAATTTCAACCTCAAAATTTTAATTTTTTGTCATTGAAGTGACCCGACCTCAGCTATATTTAGCTGAAAATGGCCTCAAATGACACATATTACACGGATTTCGAAATGTATGACCTAAATGGACCATAGGTAACACATGCGTCTCGTGACCGAAGCATGATATATATTTTCCGTGACCTAGGATGGCGTGGCTTTGACCCGAAAAAAGTACAAGTTTGGTGCCCTCAGGGTATCTAAAGCATCTATTCAAGAGTGTGTAAACCAAAAATGAGCCTGATCTGACTTATTAGCCGGTGGCCAGAGCCGAAATTGTGAACAAGCCAAAACGTTGATACTTTTTACTTTGACCTCACCTGTGACGTCATCGGTGACTTCGAGGTCAAGGAAATTAGGTTTCGTGCGACAGTTTTTTGGAGCTATCAGACGCTGTTTGAATTTTGACTATCGGCCTAGTAGTTTAGGAGTTAGGAGGAGCTATGGATAGCCCCTGCCCCCCCCCCCCCCCACCACCACCAGTTGGGCGCGTTGCAATACATACCCCAGTGGGGCGCGTGTTGAATGCGTCATTTGTGTGCAAATGTGACCTCACAACATGCGGGAAGATGCTATTGAACTATAATACAGTATTCCGTTTTATAGAACTTCGGTAAACAATTAAATCGCTGATTCAGTATTTATTTTCGTCCTATTTAGCTGATAAATTGACCTTTTCACCATTAACAAACAACGAAAAACAAACAACTCTGCTTACTATTGAATTTTGCAGATCAATAATATTGAAACTGGTTTTGAAATGAGAGAGGAATGAAAAGCTGCCAAATTTATCCCAAACACCCTGTATACGTTGTCGCTAATTTGTCTACGATGCGCGGATACTGTCTCGTATCAGAAAAGGATGAGTGTTCTCGAGATAGCTCGGACAGCTCTTCTAATGTATGTAATTCTCGCTGTTCACGCTGAATGCGCTTAATCCTCTCAGCATCTACCCAGTGCCTGCGCCACGGCTACCGGCTGGATGTGATTACCCAACACCCACGCGCGCACGAGCTCTGCCCAAACGGCTCGGTTCCGGCGCCACGCGCGCACGCGCGCACGCGCTGCGGTCTGCGCCAGCTCAGCGCGGTCTCTGGCGGGACCGCGCGGGACCACACGGGACCGGTGGTCTCTGTGTGACCCGGGTCACAGAACTGGAACCAGCTCGACCCGGTGTGGCCGGTCCGGGTCGCGGTGTGGCCGCTCCCGCCACCGGTGTATGCAGGAATGCCCAGCCGCCATCTGACTGGAAAGTGGAGATATGTTGTGGAGAGATTCGGGCCTCGCACGGCTACTGGTTATGTGACTTGTCACATGGAGTCGTTATCTATGAGCCGTTAGCATTTTGGTGTGCATGAAATGACAGCAGAACTTTTGCTGTGTTCTGCTGTCCATGCAATATAATCTTCATTTAGTTTATCGCCGAGTTATTGCGAATGGTATTTGCTCCCAAAAGCAATGCAGGTTTGCTCACGAAAGATCAGAGGTCACGAAAGGCTCTGACGGTTCGGACCACAGCTTGGCGTTTACGGAAGCGCTTTCGAGGCTTTCTGGTTTGCAGATTTTTAAAAGAAAGCTCAAATAAGTTCTGTGCATCGCTATCTGGAGATAACGAACCTGGGAAACACGAACTAGTTTCCCAAGTAAGCAACCTTCTGCACCATTTTGTCACTGAAAGAGTCGTTTATTATTTGAACTTACCTTTGACGCTACGGGTGGCACCAAGGATAAATATTGGTTTGTTCCGTCGGCCGTCGCCCCTGTGTTCTTAGTATTGATTCTGTAATTTGTACTCCTTTCCCCGGGATTGACATATTCTCTTCGTCCTCTCCTCATCCGGGACTGACGCTGTCTGACCCTGTAGAAGTGTCATTTGGCTGACTTGTCTGGGTTGTTCTCTGGGTTTGAGCCAGCACCCTGTCGCCTGTGTTCGTGGGACTGACGTTATCTATGTGTCCCTAAGTGACAACCGTTTCTATATGTCTATCGGACTGACTTCTTCTTGCCCCTGTCTCGGTTTCACCTTGGGAACCCAGTCGCCCCGCCTTGGACTGCAGGTTGGACTGGACTCCTTGGACTGCCCTGCTCCCCTGCCCCTGGGACTGACGTCGCCAGTCTCAGGGGCAGTCCCAGTCGGCAACTGGCAATCTCATCACTTAGGGACTTGCCTCTATGTCTCGTTTGACCCCCATCTCCCCCTGTTCCAGGAGCCGATGGAGGTGAAGCAGGGTGAGCGTGTCCAGGTGAGTTTCTGGCGGCTCTCCAATGCGCGGAACGTGTGGTACGAGTGGTCCGTAAACGCACCGCGCACCCTGCCCATCCACAACCCCAACGGGCGCTCCTACACCATCGGACTGTGAGTCAGTCGCCAGGGTCGCCAGGGCTACCACCAGCGGGTTGCCAGTCGCCAGCCGCCAGGGTCGCCATTCGCCAGTCGCCACGGTTACCACCAGCGGGTCGCGAGTCGCTAAACGTCAATCGTCAGTCACTGGTAGTCAGTCGCTAGCTTCCGGCTGGTAACCGCCAGTGTCCAGTCACCAAGAAATCAGTCGCCATTTACCAGTCGTCCGTCTCAAAGTACCACCAACGGGTTACCAGTCCTTCGCTGCCAAGCATCAGGATCGCGAGTTGCCAGGGCTGCCTAACACCAGGTTCATCGCACAAGCGTCGCCAAGAGTCGCTGGCTGCAAGCAACTCTTTGGTGCCACTGTCAGTCTCCTGGGCTGCTGGCCTCAGCTGCACAAGAAGCTGACCTTAATACACAGTCTCGGGTCTAGTTCACGGGTGTTCTATCATCGATGGGAGATGCTGGTGTGTACCGACTGCCGACCTAGTGGGACGCGCGATTCGTCCTTTGTGTGTCTGTGATTAGAACTTTGGCCGGTGGATGCGAGTGGATGTTGTGATGTGAACTGCAGTGCGTCAAGAGTTCGCTTATTGCGGCTTTGGAGCTGACGCGGTAAGAGAATGGATAGATCGGTTGCTGGTTCGTTCTGGGGAGTGACTGGAGTGAGCGGCTGTGCGAACTGGAAATTGTTTGGGCTGTGTAGTGTGTACTGATGCGGCGTGGAGACTGGCTGGTGTGTGCTGTTGCGATCCGACTCGAATCGGAAATCAAAACTGGTGTGATCAGCGGCTCGGCGCTGGCAGGTACCCGTCGGAGGTAAGCGTTGGCTGCTGTGCCGCTGTATATATCGATATGTACCGGTATGTACCGATGTGTACTGGTTGGAACTGGTTCGCGCCGGTTCACAGACGGACGCGCCCCATTGCTACGCTGCTGCCATGCTCATCCTGAACCCCAAGGGAAATACAGTAAACTGTTTTTGTTTTGTTCGTTATATATTTATGCACATAGTCAAGAAGAGCCCAACCACTGAGCCAAGAGACAATCATTCACGCTCACAACAATCTCACATAATAAATATTTTTCTGCCCTCGTTAGGCTATAAATTAACAACAGATAACACGTTAGACATGAGCTGCACTTCCCGTTGGCTCAGCGCTCCTCTCCATTGTGGAGACTGATGCTGCTGTCCGACGGGGACCACATTTCCATGTTGCAGTTAAAACCAGCTGGCCAGCGTTCGGTGCTCCCTCACGGGAGGTATCATCACCGGCCAGTCTAGAGCACGAGGCCGGCGGCCAGGCTGAGTCCGAGCAGCGCGGGGGGCACCACCATGGCGGCGCGGAGCACCTGGCCGGCCACGCTCGAGTCCTCCTGCTCGGTGCCGTCGGCGCCCACGGGCACGGCGCCGGCCTGCTGGGGCTGGTCCGACTGGCCGCTCAGCCAGGACGGCAGGTACTGGGAGATGCCGCCCTCCTCGCCGCCGGCCGCGTCTGTCTGCTGCGCGCTGGAGGTCAGCCACGAGGGCAGCAGGCTGCTGACGCCGTCAATGCCGGCCTGCTGCTGCTGCTGCGTCTGGTGGCCGGTGATGGACTGCAGGAGCGCCGGCAGCTGGTCGTCGTTGGCCACCGACTCGGGCTGCGCCAGAGTCTGAGCGTCTCCGCCGATCACCGTGACAGGAACGCCCGCCTGGCCGGCAATCGTGACAGGCACGCCATTCTGACCAGCGATAGCGACGGGCACTCCCGCCTGGCCAGCAATGGTGACTGGCACACCGGTCTGGCCGGCGACAGCGACAGGCACTCCGTTCTGGCCAGCGACTGTGACCACGGGCTGCTGCACGACGACGCCGCTGCTGGTGGGCCGGCCGGCCAGACTGTTGTAGAGCTCGGCCAGGGCCATCTGCTGCTCGCTGGTGTAGTGCTGGCCCGACTGTCCGGAGGCAGCCTGCTGCACCGCCGCCATCACCGCCTGCCGGTACGCCTCAGCCGCCTGCTGGTGAGCCACGCGGTCTGCCTCACTGTCGGTGGGTGGTGGTGGCAGGTGGGCCATCACGCCGTGAGCGGGGTGCGCCGCCACCGGGACGGCAACCGGAGCCGGGGCCGGGGCCGGAGCAGGGGCCGGAGCCGGAGCCGGGGCAGGAGCAGGGGCCGGAGCGGCCACCGGAGCGGGAGCGGCCGCCGGCACCTGGGCCTGCACCCGGACCGGGCGCTGGGCGGGCGCCGGTACCGCCGCGTGCACCGGGCCCTCGGCCTCAGCAGCGTTGAGCGTCTGGCTGACGCGCGAGTCGGTGTGGGTGGAGCCGGTGGAGGTCATCGTGATCCGACTGTCGGAGGGCACCTGCAGCTCCCGGTAGCGGCGCAGGTACGGAATCACCACGTCGTTCTTCAGCGAGAGGCCTGCAATGGAGATATAGGACGTCAGCGGATGGGCGGAGGGGCCGTCACAGTTTCCAGCTTCATGTTGAACTGAAATACTTATCACGATGCAAGAAACTACGATTACGAAGGCGATGAAGTCGACTTCATGACAGTACGAAGATTCAAATCAAACTTCAAACACAAATTACGAATCGCTCTCAAAGCATAGTGATATGCAAATTGAATCTCAACGCTTTTCAAAAGTCTGATGGTTCTGTTACGCATTATGACATTTTGAGACCCTTCTTTTCCTCCACCGTTTCGTTCTCCTATCGTCTCCTCTCGCCAATACTGACCGGTATCGCGAACGTCCTGGAACACGGACGGCTTGCTGTTGGCGCCCGTCACGAAGCTCAGCGTGTAGGGCATGTCGCTGTGTGGCTCGCGCAGTCCGCTGGGCACACAGGTGCTGCACTCGATCAGCAGGTTGGAGACCGCGTGCGTCTTGGGGTCCACGTTCATGGTGACGCCTGCGGGTGGAGGGCCGGTCAGTGAGTGGAGGGGTGGAGGTGGATGTCACAGAGAAGGGTGGGCTCTTTGGCAGGTGAGCCCCCCAGTCAGGTAAAAGATCAAATGTTTGTCTGTGAACTGCTGCGCAATATACTGTCGGCAGACTTTGAGATCGTCACCATTTGACAATCGGTAAGTGGTTTGTTAGGAGCATCGATAAGCTTAGCGTGAGCCCACCATTGTTGATGCTTCTTTTATATCAATTACCTACTGGCGAAACGTGAGGGACTGACATCTGTTTTCCACCATCCCATGTATCCCGGTGCACCTTTTCAACGCTTCTCCAACCCTCCGCGACCTTTTCTCCCGTCCGTCTCGGTTTCTCCACTCACCGGAGGCGTGCAGGAACTCTGTGTTGCTCATGGTGGCCTGCATGAAGAGCTGCATCAGCTGGGTGGTGCCGCGCAGACGGCCCATGTAGACGGTGGCGTCGTCCATCAGCGAGGTGGCGACGTCCGACTCGCGGATGTCGCCGGACCAGGAGCCGCTGAACACGCCGCTGCCCACGACGGCAGCGTTGATCCGGCCTCCCAGCTGGAACAGGGGGTCATCGTCAGTCTCCTGGCCTTCAATTGGCTCAGCGGCGATCGGTCTGTGTAATGAGGCGACGAATATGTATTTATTGGTCGTGAGTTCCTGACGTGGAATGACGTTTGACAGAGGTTAATTACTGACGTTGAAGAACGTGATGCCCAGGTGATGGATATCTGTCACTACTGACGTACAGGGAAGTGACGCTGAGGTGGTGGATGCCTATCGCTACTGACGTGTGGCTGATGTGACGCGGAAACGGTGACCCACTGAGCTACCGGTTTGCACAGCTGGGCCGGTTTGTGGGAATCGGGTGGCGCGCAGTGCACACACCAGTTCCTGCACGAGCGGTCAGATTTTCCGGACTGCGGGATTAGTGTCATCTGATGAATTCCGCTACAACCGGCTCTTAGGAATGGCGCTTTCTCAACTCCAGCGCCGTTACAAAATCGTTCCACTTTTCATCTGATTAAACAAGATTTGAAGCATTCCTAAAGCATTCCTCGTTCCTCGTCTCCCGTCATAGTCTCCCCGGCACTCACCCTCCATTTGATGGCGTCAGCGATCAGCTTTCCCATGGCACACTCCTTGTCCTGGCAGTCGCTGCCCAGGCCGGATATGACGCCAGTCGAGGTGGCCAGGACCTCGCCGCTGGGCGCTGCCACGGGCGGGCGCGGCCGGAACGGCGCGGCGGCGGCGGACGGCGCAGATGCCGGCTCCTCGCTCTCGATCTTGTTGTCGGCGGAGCTGTGGCCAATGACCTCGTTGTCCTCGGGACGCAGACGCAGGATCTCGGCAGTCTCACGGTCCAGAGTGTCTGTGGAGACGGGGATGGGGTCAGTGGGAGGTATGGTACCCTGGGGCCCCGCTAGTGAAATGTAGGCTTTCGCTTGTACTTGAGTGATAAGGCGACGCCGTGCCATCAGTGTACGCCGGTGGTAAGGTGAATTGCATCAGGAAACACATTTGAAACATTTTTTTTATGTCTTCTGATGTTTACTCAAACAACAATTCATGCTCACACATGAAAAGCCTTTAACGCCCAACATTTGAAAGCATTCATGAAAAGGCAAGCCGCCACCGTGGAGACCGGTGCGCCGGTACGAGAGATGTCCACTCACCGGCAGTGCCCTGCTTGACGGCCTTGTACAGTCCGACGCCGCGCTTCATCTCGCCGCGCGCGTTGAACAACAGCCGAGTGACGCCGATGGTGTTACCGGTGCGGGTCGGGATCTCCATCAGGGGTATCTCACGCGGCCGGCCAGCGCTGGTCACCTGAGGGCGAGAGGAGAGGCACGCGGTTAGCTGAGAGACAATAACTCTTCGCCTTTTTTAACTTCACTCCCTTCACTGACTGTTTACTTCTTCTTCAAGAGCCCACCGAAACCAATCCGTTGTCCGGTCCAGACTACGCAGTGACGTTACTAAACTCTCGAGCTGTCACTACAAAGTGCATTCACTTTGGTCGCCAAAAGTGCTGATGCTTATTCACTCAATGCTATGTCCCCGAAGCCCACGTGTTCCTCCACTCGCGTCACCAAACACTGTACCATGTCCTCGATATCGCTCACTTCCCTTCCCGACGCCCTGATTGGGTAGGTACTGACCATCTGGGGGAAGTCGGCTCCGGGCACCTCGGTTGGCGCAGAAACCACCACATCTACTGTGGGCACCAGCTTGGCCAGCTCCATGTTGGCCGCGTGGCCGGCGTTACCCATAGCTGCGGACGGACGGACAGGTCAGGTCAATGGGAACGGGCAGGGAGTGGCACACCGCGAGCGAGACGTGAGGGTGACAAGCGGTTATCGATTAGTTAAAGAAAAGGCTGTGGCCATTCATGGCAATGCCCTCCATGACAGCGTTCGCCTCGCATCCTTTTCACTTTCCACCGTTAACCTCTCTGGTTCGTATCGCGTCCACCTTACTACGTATTTATAAAGACAGCCATGATGTTCGCATATCCAACAGCAGTGACCTCTGACCAGCCCCAGCCGGTCAGTGACCTGACCCACCACGGGTCTCCACGCCGCTTCGTGGGGGGACTCACCGATGATGATGTCGGTGCCCTGGTCCTGCAGCCGGCTGGCCTCGGCGCGAACGGCCATCACCTCGGAGCCGATGTGCGAGTCGTCGTCCTCCCGGAGCAGCACCTGGAGGGGAGGGAGAGGAGGTCAGGAGTGTTGAAGAGTGTCCGGGAGTCCATGAGTGACCGAGAACGTCTCTGGCAAGTCTCCGGGAGCGCCCAATTCCAAAATGTACAATATTTTATAAGTAACGATAACATCAAAACTCGTCAATTACCAAGCACACATCACACCACTCTTAAACGCTCACCATTCTTCCGCAACCCTCTTCATTTCTATACATCTCAACACTCTGCTGTCGGCACTCACGTTCAGGTACGGTGAGACGAATCCGATGACGGCGACGCTGTAGTCGCCGAAGCGGGTCACCACGGACTTGGAGACGAGGTCGCCCAGCCGGGTCGAGTTGAGGTTGGCGGCCACAAACTTCTCCCCGGAGGCGGTGAGGCGGGCCAGGAGGCCGCCGTCGCCCTCGAGACCCTCGTCAAAGTCGCTCAGGGACAGGGCCTGTGGAAGGGACAGGCCGTGTGATGGATGCGCCGAGGAAGAGTGGCATAAAAAGTGTGTTATGTAAGAAAAAAACATAAGTTAGCTAACGAACACTAATCCAACGAACTCCATCAAGCGCATTCCAGATCAATCCCAAGGCCAAACAAAAGCCTAAAAGTGAAGTGATTCTCAAGTATTGAAACCGACACGTCTTGGAAGTGACACGTGACCCATGTAGTCTCATTGCTGCCCGTGTCTGCCTGGGGGCGAGTTCTGTGTACCAATGCCACCCTGCGCTGTGCCCTGATCGCGACGCGTTCACTGACCGTGGCGTCGGGCGACACGGCGGAGTAGGCGGCCGCGTCCCGTCGGGACAGCGTGGCGCCGCCCGTGTTGAGCAGGAGGACGTTACCGCCGCCCTGCGCCTCCACCAGCTCCACTGTGCGCCGCACGCGACTCATGTAGTACTCCTGTGGGGCGACCCGTCACTGTCAGTCAGTTGTCGGGGAGGGAGAATGGTTGGGATGAGGTGACCACAGTCCTTGACCACGCTGCTCCAACAGCATCGCTGTGCTGGGATTTCATCGGAAAAGAAGCCGAGAAAGAGAACAAATTGACGCTACTCCTTTGATGTTATTATAATATGTCTCAGTTATCAATATTAGTCGTACTCGTGTCACCCTGCACCGACAGCGGGTCCTCTCATGAGCTGAGAGTTTTCAGCCTGCAGGAACAAACACACCTGCAGCGTCTTGCGTTAAAGCGCAGCGCTGCGGTACTCACCCGTTCGGCGGGGTTGATGGGCGGGTTGTACTGGACGATGGTAAGCTCGAACGGGCCCTGGCCCTGGGCGTCGGCCGTCACCAGCGCGGCCAGCACCGCCACCGACACCGTCCACAGAGACATGGCGCCTGAACCGACGGCAGAGCAGCTCTCGAAGTACGGGCTCGGGTCGATTCACTGCGCTCGCGGCTCAGCAGGTACGGCAGCTACGGCAGCGGAGAGAACACAGCGGGTTACGGGGGGAGCTGGGAGCACTGTGTCTCCAGGCATGGGAGACCATGTACCGTCACTTTGTGTTCTTGGTCTCTACGTGTTAACGTAAAGCTCCCTCAAGCGCTGAAGTGATTGCATGCTACCGTTCGATTACTGCTGTTTGCGATTCGCTATACGTTTATGACTGTTTACGTTCCTGATAGCCAAAGAACATGCACGCAATAGGTGCATTTGATTCGTGTGCGATTCGAACATCTGGCAATTTATGGTGACAGATATGGCGGAGATACATCTAATGCACCGTCGTTCTATTTGAAGCTGCTGAACTTAGATCAGGTACTTGGGCATCAAGTCCCTTTAGTGAAACTGCGAAAATAAGAAAACTTGGCCGCCGATTTCAGGAATGATCATACCTATGTCTGATCACGCTTTTCGTAAATATTTTCCAAAACCTCATTACTAGCCTGCACTTAGAATTATCAGCAGCTTGAACGTCTCAAGTCACTGATCAGGTACCCTCCCAATTCGGAAGTTCACATCACTGCTCTTCTTTATGCTCCGTCACTGTGCGAGTCTCTGTGAACTCCGGCCTCCCGCCGCGCGGCGGAGAGGTGAGGTACCTCAGCTCACCTGCTCGTCTCAATCCGAGGAGAATGCCTCCTCTGGACCACTCTCTGGCCACTGCCACCGTTCAACTGACCTCTCCTGCTGCCGGGCACACCAGCTCAGCTCCGCAGCTCCTCCGGAACACCGGCGCCAAAGTCGTCGGACCGGCCGCGCAGCTTTCGCAGGTCGCACGCGGACGGATACGGCAGGTTAGTGGGTCGGCACCGCGCGGAACCGGCGCCTCATCCCCGGCGGACGGAACGGACGGGACGGCACGGCCAGCCGGCCCTGCCACACGGCCAGCCGGCGCTGCCACCTTGTCTGGAATGCGGCGGCGAACAGAGCCGCGACGGCGGCGAGGTGTTCGGGCCCGCGGTGACTCTGGGGGACATCATTTGAGCTGCTGGGGTATACCTTCTGCTTGAACATCGCACAGTGGCACGGTGTTTCGTTATCACTGAACATTACTGTTAGTAGTTTGTGATGTGCCCCCTGAGTCAGGTCGAGGTCGGGGTCTTATGAACTTCCGCCGCTTCGACCCATTTGACAAAACACTATAAAAAGCGGAAAATATCTAAGGAACATGAAAATAGAAAACGTGCCCAAAAATCCTTCATCTAAACCGGCAGCTGAAACGAAAAGACTTATAAAGCACTCGTCAGCCAGTTAGTTGCCTGACAAAGCCGACAAATGAATCAAACGCGCGATACCCTCAGGAAACTGGAAAGCTGAGCCGAGCCCAATGGTCTCCCCAAAACACATAGGCCAGTCCGCAGACGTATGTTCCCCTCAGCCAGGGGCGGCGGATTCGGGGGGGGGGGGCAGGGGGGGGCAGCTGCCCCCCTGGCAAACTCGTGGGGGGGGCAAAAGTATCTTTTTGCCCCCCCATAATTTGTGAAAAATTTTAGACAAGAAACATATACCTGATTAGTGATTATTCTGTTCGATCATCTGAAGAAGTAACCAGATGCCCATATACTTTATCATACGTTGCCTTTCATGACAAGTGTTCGCGTTCAATTGAACTTTTCCTCTCTTCAACCTAGTTTTGGAGGCATTATAAGCGTCAACGTGACGCGGCGGCAACCCAGGCCTTCAGTGACCGCTTACAGGGGCGACGGACACGGAGCGGCAGAGGAGGCATCGTTCCCTAAGAAACTTCGGGAGGAGGGACAAACGTATATTCTTGCCCCTCCATAATTCGTGCCCTAAACATGAGGAACGTTTCCATAGCCTGATATTGCAGCTATGCGCTCCTACAGTTTGTCCAACGGTGTCTTTTGAATATGTGTAAATGCTAACCATTTCCGCTTTATAGCATTTTTTGTCTTTTCAGATTCGATTTAGAGATATTTTAAGTGTGCAAGAGACGCAACTCACACCCTCAATGGTCGTTTGCCGCTATTTTGTACCTACATGAATGCCAAATCGCAAGCGAGCGGAGACGGAAGGGCTAGCCACTCGTTTGCGGGTAGTTTAGGACTGATGAGCGCTCGTAATTAATTAGCCACTCCCCTGATTTTTTTTTTCGAGCGCAACAGTTTCCAGTGCAAGTAACATGGTAAACGCCGAGGTCGTACTCATTGACCACATTGACCAATGCACGGTATGACACCCAAAGGCCAGTCATCAGAGATCTGCTTTGGGCATTCGGAGGCTTGTGTGGGGCCAGTGTAAAAACTGGATGTTCACAGTTCAGTATCCGCTTTATTTCAGTATTCACTATTAAATAAGTAAAAAATAACGGTGGAAACTTTTGAGGGTTAGGGCACTGATCATTAGTGGGCCCCCCTCTGGATAAAGAATATAGAGCATCGAACACGAAAGCAAAATCTAAGGCATTTTGGAAAAATGAGTATGCCCCGCAGCGTCCGATAACTACCACCTTCCAGTGGGTCAAGCCAACGGGGTCCAAGTCTATAATGGCACTTAACGATAGCACCAACCTTGTCTCACTTTTCGTTGAAGTCTGTTCCGAATGGTTTCGGCGACAGACTGGCTGCACTGAGGTCGTTTGGTATGTGCAACTGTAATTAAAGCCACCTGAGGCGCCCAGGCACCAGGCTGAAGCTGGGTTGGAAATGCTTCGTCTTTGCAGATATCACTGGCCGCTGTTTCTCGAGTGCCTGAACCGGTAGATGTCTTGGCAAAATTTGGTGTGATAATTTGGACCTTACCGCATTCAGCGCACCCTAAAGCCCTAATAAAGAAACACCCCCCCCCCCCAGAGCTTCTGGATTCCCGTTCCAGTCCACCGAATTCCTTCACCATAGTCCGCTGCTCGACTCCCTCACCTCAGCCCTCCGTTCCCAGCTTGACGAGCGTTAGGGCCTTAGTTAAGTCTTGCTGTGGGCTCATCTGTAGGATAAACCCATCGAGACAGCCCGTCTCGGTGAGCTTAGTTGGCGAACTACTGCCTTGGGGTGGGTTTCTGGCGGATTGCTGTCCCAACAGGTTTAGATGCGACCGACTGTCTCTGAATGTTTGAGCGGTCTCCTCCCGCTATTAGCTAGTTTCAGTTGATATCTGTCTCAGAAGACAGAAATACTTTTGAAAGGAAGGTTAACCCTAGAACGCCTAGGAGGGGGGTTGTATCAACCCCCCCTTGAGGTTTTTTCGAAGTGCACGCTAAACGGCTTGTCGTAGCGGGCTGAAATTTTCAATACCCTCTGGGGCAACCTGTGCGCATCTTTTGCCGAAAAAAAATTGATCGGGTCATGTCAGGTCACGGAGTTATGACGTCATAAGAGGTACAGCCTCCGGCCGACAGTTACCAAACGTGTGCGCCGAATCCCTAGGTTTTCTGCCGGTGATACCCACATTGTTTGATGGATCATGATGAAACTTCCCATGCATGTTGGGGCAAGCATTGGCTATCGTGTGGTGCAAGAAAATTGACCGGGTCAGGTCAGGTCACGGAGTTATGACGTCACAAGAGGAACAGCGTCCGGTACTATTTTTGAAAAGCGCCCGAACCACTATTTTGCTAATTCTTGTCACCTCAATGGGAATATGCAGCAATATTAGCTTCTATAGGGAGCAAATGGACCTCCCAAATCCAAAAATACAATCAGATTTCAAAATTTTAAATTTTGATTTTTCGAATTTCTGCCGCCGACTGACCTTGCCGACTTCCGGCGCTCCCAACGCGCCATTTTTAGAGCTAGGGAAACGAAATACATACCAAACGATAGAGAACTGATCAAGAAACACGATAGTGAAGGTTTCAAGTCGATATCTCCCACCGTTTTGCCGCAATCGCCGCCGAAAGTTGAAAAAAGTCTATTTTTCCGAAAATTTGACCTTTGACCGGTCAAAAGTAGGTCAAATGTTGACCTAGGACCAAAAAATATACCACCAATCGCGAGATCTCGTTGAGAGCAATCCGTTGGTTTTTTCCGCTAAGCTCTACGACCTTCCGTTTCGAAACGCCAGGGGGGGGGGGGTCGTAACAACCCCCCCCCCCTGGTCGTTCGTGTTATGAGAAATGGCCTGGTCGTGCGAGGGTTAAACGGAAATCGAACGTAAAATGAACAGAGGAAATGGTAACGAGTTACCTCATTGAAGAATAGCGTTCGCCTACTTCAAAAGTTTCGGCACCGTTCTTCAAATCTGATTTGCGATCGGGTTATGCAAGATTACTTTACTATACTCGGGTTATGGGCTATGGCACAATTTTTCCCATAGGAGTTTTTTTCTAACTCAGCAATACGAAAATTGTTATACCTATATCGTCCACTGGCAGATCCAGGGAGCGGGTATATAAAGCAAATATTTACTCCCCCTCCCCTTGCATCGCCCGAAATAGACAAAACGTACCTTATGTTTCCTAATAATAAAACTTTTATCAGAAATTCTTTGCTTCATACTGTTCAGCAGTAAGGAATCGAAATCCGAGGAGTTTTTGGATTTTGGACACTTGGGGGGGGGGGGTATGTCCCCTACAGCGTCGAAAACGCCTTTCTGGATCCGCCTATGACATCATCTCGTCTGGGATCTTGCCCCCCCCACGCCAAAATCGAATCCGCCGCCACTGCCTCAGACCTATCGTCCATGCATGCGGATTACGTAGTACGTTATAGGTAGACTTTCAAATTGCGGCCCTTGTCTGGTGTCAAACTGCTACGAGTGCGTAAAACACGCATGCGTTGCGCGGTTCAATGTTCAATCTAACTAGCAGCAGCCACTTGCAGTGCGGTGCAGTCTAAATTCAGGCGACCACATGGGCGGTGCGGTGCAGTCTAAATTCAGGCGACCACATGTGCGGTGCGGTGCAGTCTAAATTCAGGCGACCACATGTGCGGTGCGGTGCAGTCTAAATTCAGGCGACCACATGTGCGCTGCGGTGCAGTCTAAATTCAGGCGACCGTACGTGTAGCGCGGTGCAGTCTAAATTCAGGCGACCACATGTGCGGTGCGGTGCAGTCTAAATTCAGGCGACCGTACGTGTAGTGCGGTGCAGTCACTACAGGCGGCTGCATATAGTGCATTGCATATGCTACAGGCCGTATAAAACTTGGTCCGTTTGCAAATGGCCTGAACACACCGGTTGTTTGCAAACCGCCTGAAATATTAGGCCGTTTGGAAACGGCCTAGGGAGTTTGAAAACGGCCTAGTGAGTTTTACGGCTTGGCGGAGTATAACAACCTCTGACTGAAGATGGCTTGATGGATCCAGATTGGTCAATGATCGGGTCTGCGGAAAGACTGTCTACAGCGAGCATTTTCTTACTGTGCAGGTGCTCGTCCCGGGCCTGTTCTTGACAATATTACTTTAGGCTCCCTCGCCGGCACAGGCCATTTTGCGTCCTTCGATGGCATAATGGGGGGGGGGGGTACGACCCCTCGCGTTTGTCTCCTGATCATGCTAGAGCTCCGCGAAAAAAAAAAAAAACGAGCGTGCTGCCCGTGACGAGAGGAAGCCGATCATACCCAAGTTTAGGGTCCTAGGTCATCGGTTGACCTTCCAGGTCAAGTCAATGACCCAAAAGTCGGGAAAATCGGAACCTGTTAGAACGTCGTAAAGTGTGGCTGCTATGGGGTATTTTCGTGGTGTTGATCACGAATATCATTTTAGTTTTGATCACAGATGATGACTGCATGCATTTAGGCCAGGTGGGGTCAGGTCAGGTCAACCAGAAGGGTCGCCTGGGCCAAGACGCCCCATA